CTGCAGTGATTGTAAAGGCTCGTGGACCTGGAATGAAGGAGTGGAGGGCCTCACCTGTGTGCTCCCTGTGACCAGCGGCTGCCCACTCAGCAAGGGGGTGTGGCCTTGGAGACGAGTGGAACTCAGGAAGCCAGAGAGGGTCCACCGCGCAGTCCTGGGGAGAAGCACCCCGTGCTGTCAGTGACTCCCGTACTCAGTGCTGATACACCAGACTGCAGATGAGCCACCTACCTGACGTTCACCATCTCAGCCTTTCTTAAAACCTGCCTTCTTTCTATACATGAGCAAGACTGTGCTTTGGCATCTTGGCAGCACCACCTCCAAGCCTATGAGTCGAACCCAAGTCAAAGCTGTTTGCCTGAATACAGGATAGTTACACAGAGGCCTTGCTAGAGAAACAATCAGATGGCAAGTATTCCCACCAAAGAAAGGGCCACGTGGCATTTAGCCCCATTGAAACCACGGGCTGGGTGGCATTCACTTGGTTTACTGCCTGAGGAGCCATGAGGAAAACCCAGATTAATTCTTCTCTTTGGTGCTGTAAGGGACTCCGGTCATTTATTTACACCTATCATCTACCTATCTCACACGTTTATTTGCACATCCTATAAACAAATACGACAGATATAAATATTTCAAATATGGATGCCATACATGTAGAAGTTTCCGGCCAATGACATCACAGGGACCTAGACTGGGAACATTTCCAGCCCAGTTCTGTCTGCGCCTCTTCTGAGCACAGAGATGCCGGAACGAGTCACAACTCTCTCTGGGCCTCAGTTTCCTGGTTTGTGACATGAGGTTAACCCCCGCGCTCTCTGGAGAGGGAACTGAAGGAGGTAATGGGCAGAAACCCGCTTTGAAAAGGACAGACGACCACACAGACGCTCGGGATAATGAGGCGCTTGACAAAAGAGCATTATTCCTCTACTAAGAAGTGTACATCCCCACACACGTTTTCTGTCTGTGAAGCTTCTCCTTTGAAATTAAATTGAGACCATAACCAACACCCCTCCCAGTGCTGCCTGAGGTTTTACTCAGCAACAAAACCAAAGCTCCTTTTCATCATCCGTCACATCCACGCTCAAGCACCAAGAGGTACTTTTCACCAGTGGTGAAAATAGCTTTCTTTTCACAGCAGAAACACAGAAAATGATCTCCCTCTCGATGCTAATGTAAGGATAAGGCTTATTCTACTGTTGGCACCGAAACCGCCTTGATTTGGCTTTGTCGGTGGCGTGTTCTTGCACCAGGGAGACGGGAGCGGTGAGAGAGAGCATGAAGCAAAAGCTTTATTTATGCACGTGAATAATTAAAATAGATATTTTCAAATGGGAAGCTTGCTCCGTTTTTCTTGCAGCTTAGTGCCAGCGGAAGCCTCCCTTCTCAGAAGCAAGTTAAAATCCTTTGTGTGTTTACTCAGCCCTGGTCACCCCTTCCTGACCTGGATCCTTCAGTGTCTCTGGGGAAGCACAAGTGCCCAAGCTGCCTTTCTAGCACTTTCTTCTGCTCACCTCGCCCAAAGCACGGTGCCCAGTTTGCTGTGTTCTCCGCCGGTGTTTGGATGGTGCCTTTATTTTCAACGTGAATGTTTGCTCCCGCTCTGCCCCGTCCGGAGACGGTTCCTACTTCTATGGAGAGCTGACTTCATTTCCTACTGAAATCCTACCCGACCTTCAGGCACATCTTGAAGGCCAGGAATTTTGTGCAGCTCCCCCTAACGCCCCTACCCAAATGCACTCTCTTCCTTTCCAAATGCATTTTAATCTTCTCAGATTCTATTTTTAAAAAGCACAACCATCCGCATGTGTCCTTGTTGGCACACTGCTCATTCTGTCTGGTGGGTACATGTCCCCATCGCAACAAAAACATCAAGGCTCCTTACGTTAAGGGGGGGCTCATTATGCTATTTTTTGAGCTGCTGTGATGGAAACTCTGAAACGTATACAAAGTAAACAGAAGGCCTTGTTTATTTTTCGCATCTCCTGTGGGACCCATCACAGTGTTTTGCACGTAGCAGAAGTAAATTTAAGTAATTAGGGCCTGAGGCGAACGGAGCTGTCTGCTGTCTAACCGTGTTTCCCGGGGATCGCGAACACCCTGGGCACCGCGGCCCACACACCTGTAGGATCACGACACGCGTTAAACCCCTTCACCAGCCGGAAAATTCGGGGAAAGTGTTGTCCTCAGGTTTACTTCAGATGGTTGGCAACTGCTGACTACATTTGAGAGAACGAGGAGAAAAATCAACAGCTAAGTATATTTTCAAAGCACATTCTCATCTGGTTGTGTGCCTGTGTAGTGTTCCCAATGAGGCTCATTTCCTATCAATGTGCGATATTGGACGGATGAAACCCACAAACACGAGGGCCCTCTGCCTCTCACGATTGGTTTCCCTTTGCCTTCTGTTGTGAGCGGGTACAAATATCACTGTCTTCACCTTCCAACACCTCGGCCTCAGCCTCGTCCGGCCTGCTGTTACACACTTTTTAAACGTGTGCCCCCTTAGCCTAGTGATTTTTGCTATCACTGTGTGGGTGGGTGGGCGTGTGGGGTGTGTGCAAGTGTGTGTCTACTTGGGAGAAAAGTGAAATCCTTAAAGCAAACCAGAATTCTAGAGCGCGAAGCTGCACACCCGAGCTGTGTCATATCCAATTAACTCAAATTGACTGCACACCGCATCGTTCGCTCGGTGCCTGGAAGATCAATAAATACGGGGCAGAGCCACCCAGCTCCCCACTTTCCCATCCGAGGCGAGTGGGTCTGAGGCGGATCATGCTACTGTGATGTGTGCCACAGCCCAGGCAGGCAGGTGGTGCGTAGACACCATTCAAACTTGGCCTATTCAATCCCAGCTCCTCACCCCCATTCATGCATAGCAAAACACCATCTGGTCCTATTTTGCCTCCAGCAATCACAGCTGACCAAAAAACGATAATAACAGCTGTTGCAAAACAAAAGCCAAACAAAGGGGGTGGGGGGTGGGGGGGAGGAAAGGTTAGATTGAAGTCCAGTGCTGAAAAAATGCTCCGTGAAGTGAGAAGGGGGAACGAAACCGGCCAGACATCTGAACCCCCCCCTCCCCCCCCAGCGCACACGGTGGAGAACTCCTACTTAAACCTGAGATATGAATCCATTTGTCTGGAGAGCCTTCAAACCTCCGTCAGGTGGTAATACATCGCAGAAATTATGCCACACAAAGGCATTTAAGCTTTTGTTCTTGGAGTCGGGAACTAATGGCCCTGTGTCAGCTAAAAATGAAAACTCTCTCTGTTCTTTCATCATCCAGCATACAGGTTAATGCGAAAGAGAATATATTTAGCCAGAGTAATAAAATAATGCGCACACGGCAGGGGACAGAAAAGAAAAGGTGTGTGATTGAGGTGGAGGGTGCGGAGCGCCTTGTTAATGACTGCAGACCCTCAGAGGGAGGGCTCGCGGGCACCCCACTAATCAGGCAGCGCATTTCTCATGCTACTTTTCATTACCCTGATTTATTTCTGAACTGTAACAAAAGGAGTACACCGAGTACTCCCTGGAAAAGGCACTAGAAACACACGTGTACCCCGAAATACCAGTTGATTCATAATACTCTTAGCGAATCCTGAGAAAAATAATTTGGTTCGGGGGAATTCTTTCCATGATCCAAGTTTTTAGATGTTTTACAATATACAGTTTTGTCTGATGATTAATTTTTGAAACCGTAGAAATTGAACTGTGTTTTTTTTCCCCTTGGAATTGACCATCAGTGGCTTAGCAGCATTTAATCAAATGTGATAAAACCCAAGATTTATAAAATCATTTAATAGATGTTACAACACCTGCTTCTAACGGCAAACAGTTGAAAACAGACTTCACTTGCAATTAAGTCTTATCACCAGTGACATTTTTTTTCCCAAGCAATACTTCATGGGTTTTCAAGATGACAATTACAGAACTAATACACAATTACTGTCACATGTAGTCTAGCAATTAATTTTGAAGACATTTGTCTAAAGGTTTCACAACAGAATATATAATGGCTCTTATTGTTATGTAATGTTAGTTTCAATTCACCGAGAATCTTTTACCATCAGCTCTGCTTCTGATGGGTCGGAGGCAAGCAGATCACTTCTTTGGGGGACACAACTGCCCCCCTGTAGATGAGATTAGGCATTGCTGGAAGACATTGAACACTGATGCCTGTCAACTAATGCATCTTATGAAAAGCTTCAATTTAGACATAAATTTTTCTACAGCAAGAAATCTATAAATTTATAATTAGAACCTCTTGCTGTTCAATATTTGTACATACTACAGAGTACGAGAGGATTATGAAATATTGAAAGCCAAATTCATTATTCATAGCCCACAACATACAGTAAATATTCTTTGAAATACAACAACTTTGAGGCATCCACAGTCCATTATTTTTGAGTGCCTTGCACATGGTAAGTAACTATGGTCACCCTCTTTTTTTTTCTTTCAGATTAAGGTCTTGGTCAGGGTTGACACTTGCTGTTTTTAATTTTCATTTTATCATAAGCAGTTTAAGACTGTTGCCAGTGGTAATTTGCAATTTTTATCAAGACCTCTTCATTATAGCTTCTGACACGACAGATGCTGTAATTAATCATGCAAGACAACTGGGGATAGTGGTCACACTGTTCTCAAAGGGGAACCCGGGAAGAGCAAGGAAAGGGGGGAAGAAATGGGCACTGAAATAATTATTTTGGCTTAAGAATTAGCATTCACCACCAGTTTTAAGAGCAACAACAACACAAGGCCAGCGAGCTCTCGCCCCTCGTAGAAGACGACGGCTTTTTCCTCTGTGCTTACCTTCTGCTCACACCTTACCAAACAGACCATCACAAAAATGTTTCCAATGTTTTGTTTTGATTTTTCGCAAGGCCCCTGGTTCGGGGACATGCCATCCACATTCTTAGCTAGGAGTTCCATGTAAGCTGGTATGTGGCCTATCTCCCCATCTGATACGTATCCAAGGAATCGAAAGTGAAATGTGACACAGCATTTTATTTGAAAAGTGAACAGTGTCCTGGTTGTTGCATCAAAATACAGTCCACAGTTTTTACTGAAATGTGTTTATTCTATAGCAAGATAAAAGCATTTTTGTTTTAGTTAAGCAAAATACAAACAACTTAATTGCTGCTATCATAACTCATAAAAAAGTATAAAACAGCATAAAAACACAATAAGCAACGTAGCAATGAATGGCTCGTGTCACCAGTGTTTACGTTAAAGCCTCATTTATGAAAACTTTACAACACATGATATGAAAACTTACAACTTTGAAAGAAAATATTTACATTGATTATTCAGAAGTGGTGCGCCTTTTAAATATTCTACCAGTATTACGTCATAATAAAAACTCTTGCTTTTTTTTTTTTAAATCTTAACTTTTGTAATAACTGTCTTCATTTAAGTTCATTTCCCTTTTAAAAATACAGTGTTTTTATTTTTCGAAACTTGTCACTCAAAACACAGAATATAATATTCACATTCTTTCCCCCTAATTGGAATGGATATAATGGGCTAACAGTGGTCATCGATACTGTCACGACATATATGGTGGTTGGCTTTGGAGAAGTCATGGGTAAAAAGTGGAAATGAGTCAATAATTGAATGTAATCACTTGCATTTTTTTTTTCTGGAGATATTTAGGGAAAAAAAAAAAATAAGACCTTTGGCAAAAGTCTGTGATTTACATTATTTTTTCATGACAAAAAAATGCCATCGACTATTCATGTCATACAAATGTTTGTATGAAACTGGGGTCTTCCGATTTCAGGCAGTTACAACTGTGCTTTTAATTGTCGGGGTCCGCGTGTTCCCATAGCCTGGGGGTGCGTTTATTCACTTCTGGAGAAATAAGGCCGTGTCCTGTGACTCAGACAGGCCAGTGTGCAGTCCAGGGTTCATGAGACGGACTGATTCACATATTGTAGGTATAGCCTGAATAAATAAAAAAGGCATCACATAAAAGAGCACAGCTTTTCTTGTTTAAAAACAAAGTGGTTTAGAGTCAGCTAGCGGCGGGTGCTCAGCTACACTGGGGTTCTTATTGCCTATCTAATAGACATTCCAGAGGACCATGTGATCTGTTCCACGTTTCTGCGGAACCAACACAACTTACGAGTCTCGGCCGCAGACGGTTCACCCTCCACTCGCCTCCTCGCGCCCATCCGCCTGCCGCGGGCGTCTTCAGAAAATACTGACCTGCGGTAACACTTGAGTCTGTGTCTGCGACTGTATTTGCGACTGGTGCTGCTGGGAGGCCGGCTGGGGGCTCCCGATGGCGGGGACGGGGGACGTCATCTGAGAGGCGACGGGCGAGTGCTGCCGAGGCGAAGGCTGAGACGGGTGCTGCATGTGCTGCAGCTGCTGCAGCTGGAGCTGCTGCTGGAGCTGCTGCTGCAGCTGCTGTTGGCTGATCTGCTGCTGCAGCTGCTGCTGCTGCTGCAGGTGCTGCTGCATGTGGTGCTGAAAATGCTGCTGCTGCATCTGCTGCTGGATCTGCTGATGCATCTGGTGCTGCTGGAGCTGCTGCTGCTGCATCTGCTGCATCTGCTGCTGCTGCGTCTGCTGCTGCTGCAGCTGGAGCTGCTGCTGCTGGGTCTGCACAGAAGGGCTCACCTGGGTGGAGGACGCCGAGCCCACCAGGGCTGTGCCCAGGGAGCTGATCAGCGGGGCCCCAATGTTCGATGGCATGTTGGCCGCAATGGTGACTGACGTGACAATCTGGTTCATGGGCAGTCTCATGGTTAAGGGCTTGGGAGCGATGGACCGAGGGAGTGACTGCTGCAGAGTCTGAGGTGCTGCTGACACTGCTCCGTGCTGAGACAGCGGAGGGCTGAGGAGGAGGGAGGATGTCAGATTGGTGGACGCCAGGGTCTGCTGGACAGAGCGAATGGTCTGGGCTTCCGCTGACTCGGCGGCCGCCTGCATATGGGGAACAAAAGTTCAAAATATTACAATGCACATGTAGTTAAAATATTTAAGTCTTTTTCAGTATGGCCAGTTATTCATGCTTCCCTGTACCCAAGCGCTTTGTCATGTGACTCTTTAGCTTATCTCAGAGATAGACTCAGAGTCCCCACCTCTTGACAGGGGCTGGCCTTGTGCCTTTGCTCTGCTCCACAGAACATGGCGGAAGTGAGGTCTCAGGAGGCCTTGCCCCCTTCACATACACTGCCCCTCAGAACGTCCCACTGCCATGCGGGTGATGACAGACCCAAGGCTCAGTGATCCCACTCAAGAGCCAGCCAACTGCCACGTCCGGGGATGAGTCCAGTCCCTGTCACCCCCACCCGCACCTCCATGCCGACCCAGACAGAGGAGCAGAGCCAGCTGATCCTGCCCCCACGCCCTCCGTCTAAAGAACAATCAGCGGGCTGGCATGCTCTGAGATGGATCCTTGTCTTGTGAGGTCCTTGGCTTTGCAGCTGCTTGTTACACAGCAGTACTGTAGCAACACATGACTGATACACATGTTTAAGAGCAGTAATTCTTCAGCATTTAAGTCTGCACTAGCCTCTCCACCAAACGTCGCCACAAGAGGCCAGACTGCCTGAACACAGTACTGCCTCTAAGACGCAACAACTCTGTGTTTGGGCAAGTTCATTCATCCTGCCCCTCAGTTTCCTCATCTATAATAGGGGGTTGTATGGTCTTTACTTGGCGGACAGGTGGCGAGAATTAAACCAACTCCTCTGCGTGAGGCACTCAGAACAGTGCCTGGCCCACAGGAAGCATTTAGTAAATTTAGCAATTTTTACTAACAACTACTGCTACCAGAAAACGACAAAGCCCTGAATTTGTGTGATTCTTTTATAACAGTGCTCACGTGAATATAAGAACAACATGACTGAATTCCTCAGAGGTACTAAATTGAAGTACTTTGCGATGTTAGAAACAGTTTAGTGTACCAACTGATTGCAGAGTTCCAGAATTTACCAAAGCAGTCACAGGCGAGGGAAGAGTGTTCACAACTCGTGCATCGAGCTCCCTGTTATAAACAGCGGCTCTGGGGCCCATCACGAGAAACAAGCCATTGCATTTTGTACTAAACACAGAGAATTACCTCCTCAAAAAAATATTTCTTACTAATGCAACAGTGATGGGAATGACTCCTCTTAAAGACTGTTTTTTCTTCTTAGTCTTCACAAAACCCGGGGTTTGGGAGGAGGGCTAATGGGAGCACCACGGAGCCATCAAGCTGATGGCCGCTCTCTCTAAATTATTTTGAATGTTTACTTCCAGATTTTTATTACTCGGATTGATAAAATGTATCAGAAGGAAGCTGAGAAGTGACCTTGCTGGAATAGACCAGTGATTTTCCATCTTCTCATCTCATGGCACATAAGCTAACTACTGAAATTCTGCGGCACGCCAAAAAATATATTTTTGCTGATATGATCAGAATAGGTATAATGTTGATCCATTCACACCAGACGGCTACTGTTGTGTTGGCTGCTGTCGGTTTTAACTGGCAACCTAGGGGGAGAGAGGTCGGTGCCCTGCCGGAGTCAGGTCTGCCCGGGCTGCACGGGCTGCTGGGGTGTCATCGGTGCAGGACCAGCCACGCCCACACTTCTGCCTGGACACACGGCGTCAGGGAAGATGAGGCTTCCGTGAAGTTTTGGTGGCTGTGAAGACTGCAGTGGCAGCGGTCCCCCATCAGAGGGGGTGTCCCCGGCTCCGACCGCAGAGGCCCCGTGACAGGCGCGCAGGGTGCGACCCCAGGTGCTTTGCTCACGTGAGGCGGAACCTCGCCCCGCAACCGCGCTCCGCGGACCAGCTCCTGCAGCCCAGGCTCCGAGCGGCCCTGGCCCGCCACACGTGACTGTGAAGGCGGCGTCACACGCTCCCAATCCTCGCTTCTGCTTGCGTCCCTGGCTTGAGCATGGCTTGATTTTCAGTCCTCGTGGTGCAGGCCGCCGTCCGGACGGCCTTCCACGGATGGCCACCCCTCTCTAAGTCGGGGGCCCAGCTGGGCCCAGGGTCCGAGCGGGCGGACCCCACGCTGGCCTGCGAGGCCTGGGAGCAGCTGTGTCCCGGCTCGACCCCTGCACCCGGGGCTGTGCCCGCTGCCGCCGGGTCTCTGAGTGTGAATTCAGCCCGCCCTTAAGCTGCACTTACCTGAGGAGACGACAGACACACGGAGCTTTAGATTTAGTCTTTTAACAGCCCATCTACTGACATTTTAGTCAGAGTTCCATTCAAAAATATTTCTGAATCCCCTTTCTGGTACCCAGTGGACAACGTCTAACTTGTGCCTTCTCGGTCGGTGGCTTTCCGCAGTGGCTTTGGTTCCTGGGCCTTGGCCGAGGCCCACGCACGGGCAGCCAGGCGGCTCCACGCCAGGGGTCAGCTCTGCCCGCTCCTGGGCGAACGAGCGAGTGACGGTCTGCGAAGGGCACTCCCGGGTCGCCCGCCCCGTCACTCCGCCTCATCAGCCATCAGCTAACCTCAGCTCCGAGCATCGACGGCCCCGTTCAGGGTTTTCTGCCGGGATCTGGCACCTTCCCGTGTGTCCCAGAGGCTCAGAAGGCGGTCTGCCATCGACCCGAAGACTGCTTTCTTTCCAGCGAAGTGCAAGCGCGTCTCCCACCCGCCCACCTCCGCTGTCAAAGGCAGGAGGACTCTCTCGCCCTGCTTCTGAGCAGCTGCCCCCGGGAGATCTTACCTTAAAGAAACAACTCGGGAGGAGAAAAGTGGGACAACCCCTTTCGAGTGGCCTTGCTCCCCACACCCGCCATGCCCGGAGGCCCTGCGCGAGGCTGCAGGTCCAGACGGGACAACATGGACCCTGGCCCAGGACACATGTCAAGGTGAGAACCCTAAGCTCAATGCAATCTCGCCAGAGCCTCTCTCAGTTCTGGGAAGGCTGCAGACAAAGTTAATGAAATGTTAAATAGTATAATGTAACAGCTCAGGCTCCTTTTGGTTCAAGGCACTAATACCTTGTGGCACCAGCTTTGGGATCTCGGTGAATTTTATAATCCATCAGGGTCTACTGTGTACTCTACATATAATATATAGACATGGCTTTTTTTTCAGTACTGGGAGCATAATTTAATTTTAAATAATCATAAGGTTTATTTATTTATATGATGTGGAACAGTTGGGTCAAAAAATGCAATCTCCCTATTGCAACAATGTAGCCAAGGGTGAATTTATGATATGATGTGCAAAGATGCCTGACAAACACGTTTCCCAGTTTAAACAGAGGACATTCACACACAGCTCAGTCTGAAGTACAAAAAGAATAAGAGGCTATTTAAAATGTGTCTAAGTAGCTTCAACACACATCTAGAGATCAGTGACTCCTTTGGAAACAATTTTGATTTAGCAGCTGAAATTAGTTCAATTTATCATATTTTTCATGCCATCATGCCAGGAATCCATAAAGCAAACAAATGTACATGTTGTTCAAGCGGCTTCTGCGGTCAAGCCTTACGGAGTTGCCCTTTAGATTTCCGGAGCTGGGGGCTGTTTTCAGCACTGACCGGGAGGCTGGCCGCCCACGGGCTTACCTTCGACACCAGGCTGGCCCTGTACGCGGCCAGGGCCTTCAGGTATTCCTTTTTGGCAGCTTCCGTTTTCCTCTTATACACCTGTTGAGACACCACAATTAGCACCACAAGGTCTGAACCGTAAAATAACTGCTGCCTGACGTAGGTCACAGCGTAGCTCACAGAACACACAAAAAGCTGGTTTTCCGGACTTCGATAAACGTAAACACACACACGCCCCAAAACAAAACCCAGCCACCCTCACTACGGCCACAATTTTGAGTTATTGTGGCCAATAAGAAAAGGTTTCAGGTTGCAGCACAGGTTCTTGGGGTGACCGCCGAGGGCCTCGTGCAAAGGCAGCAAAGGGACCAGGAAGCCGGCTGCAAATGGCTGACGTTACTGAAAGTCACAAGTTTCTCCATCAACGTCTCCTTTCCCTCACGTTTCCAAACTGTCCCAAATCAGAGAGTCAAAATGCCAACACAGGCAGAGTGTGTGAAGACAGGAAAGATGGAGGCCTTTGGACCTTCCTTTTCTTTTGCAGGGAAGAAAAGTGGTACATAATAAAAGATGGGGGGTTTCCATTAGAGAGACCCATGAGTTCCACAAATACTGCCCAGTATGTTACACATGATGTGGGCTTCGCTCCTAACAGCGACCCGATGGCTGGGTGTTAGACCAAAGCACAACTATCTTTCTCTCCGGATTTAAAATCAGATGCAGCCGCCAGCCAGACGGGGTCCCTGCCTGGGTTCCCGGCACCTCAGCTCACGGCCATCCGGCAAATTCTACAGTTGCACCATCCCCACAAAACCAGCTGGTGAAAACGGTTTCAGGATTTGTAAAGAAAAAAATCAAGGGTTTTCACTCTCCAGTCCTGAGACAATTATTCTATGTTCTTACTAACAGGGGGTCTATTCTTCTGAGGCGCTGTAAAGTTAACTCCTATTAATGGTCACTGGAGTTTCACACAAGAGCCAGGGAGGACTGCCCCCCGGAAAGACATTCTCTTCTGCACTGTGCGGCGGCGCCCCTGGGGAGGAGAAGGGCCTGGGCCCTAAGCAAGGCTCTCCCACCGGCATGGCTAATCTCTCAACACCTCTCATACTGCCGAGCTTTCAAATGAACCTGGAATAAAATTTCAAATGCCTGGGGAAAATAATGAGACACGCAGAGACGGCTTCAAAGTTTGGGAACCCACCGGGAGAGCACAGAGTTCAGAAAGATGATCACAGAAAAGGCACGCAGGATGGACCCGTGGCTTTGCAGTGCCCTTTCTGAACAAAGGAGGAAAATAGTCCATGTTATTTAAAATGAAGAGATTATCATCAAAAGTTTATGCTAGCAGGGCACCGCCTGGATTTCCTCCAACTTTCCTCTAAATGGGCTTGGAACACACACCCTTATGGGGACGGAGAAACCCACATAACTGGAGAGTGGTTTGGGCTCATGTATTTGTGTGTTTTGTTCATTCCGTAGCTTAGAAAGGCTTTTGTGGGGAGAGATCATACTAAGTAAATGTACTCATTCCCCTGGAAGAGACGTAAGCGGCACGCGGGCCACTTTCTAGCACGGTGGCCACCCGGGGGCTTTGCCTTACCTGCTTCTGTTCCTCTCCGAGGCTGTCCCACATGGACGCGACGATTTTTGAGACCTCTCCAAAGGTTGCGTTGGGGTTTTGACCTTTAATTGCAGCCTGTGTGTCTCTGAAAAACAGGGCATATGCTGACACCGGCTTCTGGGGCTCGTTGGGATCTTTCTTTTTCTTTTTCTTTGGAGTCTTGGGCTTCTTGCCAGAATCCGGAGCCGCCCGTTTCTCTCCGATGGCCTGCAAAGCACGAAGAAAATTCACTGCCTGGAATGTATCTGCAGCAAGACCTACTCGGGGCCGCAATTGTTCTTTTAAGGTTTCCTGAGGCATCGGCCACAGACGAACTGCCACGCGGAGCGGGGGAGGGGCGAACTCGCTTCGAGTTCCGTGGACAGCAGAGATTAGCATTTAGAACATTGATTAATGAGATCCAGAAGTATCTTCAATATATTTACAACATATGCTCTAAATAGCAGTTATGAGTAATGAAAAACAGAACACTCTGTACCAGGCAATGCTATATATATATATATGTATGCCAGTCTACACACATACACATAAACAAAATATTTTACACTTACATTTTCAGGGGGTTTAGAAGTAAATCTAAATAATATTCAGGATGTTGACCACACTCAGATATTTTAAATGAGGTCCCTTGCCCTAGTCACATGCCGTATGTAGGATGTGTCTGAATTGATTTTTTTGAGGCTGATTTTTTCTTTTACGAGAATGTTACTTTGCTAATGGGCCCCTGGAAACTCAAATGGAAATTAGCTATAATCCCTAAGCTTGCACAGTATGGGTAAAGGCATCTTTATTTTATAAAATATTAACTTTCTAAAGAAGAGAACAACAAGACATGTAAAAATGTCAAACCTCCTTTAACTGGAGACAGAAAGGAAATGGATCATCTTCACAAAATTAAAAACCTGTGACAGACCAATAGTTGATCTTCAACTCACTAAGGCTAAAAAGAAGACCAAGAAGAAGACTTTTATTGTCTGTGGTAAATAGGCCTACCCGGAATAACACCGGCATACAGACACGCACACACATTCACAGTGTGAGCTCTGGAGATAAAACCACAGACATGATGTGGGAACAGCCCTCCGACAGTATAAACCACTGACCTCCCGGGTCACCTGCCACCACCATCTAATTTCCAAGATTATACACTCATCAGACAAGCAGACGGGAGGCTCTGTCAACCTTGTTCCATCCCCCTAGATTAGAACATGACTATATTGAAGATAATGTTGCAGCTAACTTCATCAAGAACGCTGAAATGTTTGACAAAATCTGTCTTAAAAGCCAGCCCTGGGCAAGACGAACAGAGATAAATCCAAGCGACTAACTGATTGGCTTTTAATGACCTTGAGTCTTAAATCCTAATTTAAATTTTCCAAGAGTGTCATTACTTTCTGAATGAGGGACACTCGGAACTTAATCCGAACACTAATATTCTTGGGGAGGAAACGGTAAGTGGTGTGTCGGACGGCAGGAGCCTCGAGCTGCTGGGCAATCACCGCTGGCTTGCAAGGGGCGTGCGTCTGCCCTGGCCGAGTGCCCCAGCATCCGTGTGTCACCCAAGCACGCCACATGCTTCAGGTGCATGAGGCCACATTTCTCCTCTCCTCCAGGACGTCATCTTTGGTAGCTCACACAATGAACTCAGTGCCGTTTTATAGACCTCACAGTATTTTTTCGAAATTCTCAGAGGAAGGGAGACTTGTCTAACTCTAGTTAACTAGTCTGAACGTGTGACGGAGTCAGATGCCTTTAGACAGAACTTCAACTGACGCCGTTTTCCTCAATGAAAAAAATATGACTTTAGCCACAAGAAAAAAAAAATACACACACACACAGATTTTTCTGAGTCACCATCTATACTATTTTCCTGGAAAACAATGTGGCGCTGTCTGTGCCGACAATGACACTGTGACAAGTGACAAGATGAAAGGACTTCCAGGGTGGCTTTTCCAAACCAGAGGCCTTCCGTTTCATCCCCTGCGAAACAACATTCACAGGTTGACAACTTTGGGCATCTTTCTTGGATACATTTGACTTTCCCTAATTGTCGTTAACTGTTAAGAACAAACCAGAAATGGAGAATCTCATAGGTTAAATAAGAACTCAGAACTAATTCTCCTAAGGAAACTCCTCTGGTAGATGACTCAACAGGGTCGGAAAGGGAGAAGAAAGAGCTTAACCCCAAAGACACATAATCAACGACCGAGTTGATCTTCCTTTGCCAGCTATGTTGCTTAAAAGAGAAACTGGATTCCTTGTCTTTGCATAAAACCTAGCCCGTGGCTTCAGCTTAGGAGTCGCAGAAAGCCTTCTCTGGAGCTGAGACCATTTCAGGCTGGCACCGAGGCCGGTGTTAAAATCCGTGGCATGTGGGTGAAGTGAAAGGTGTCCATCTGACTGTGTAATGACCGTCTCTCACTTAGCTGTGCCTCGACACCCCTTGAGTTTCTTCCATCATTATTTTTAAAAACTTAATTTAATTTAGTTTTTACCAGTAGGTTGTTAAAAGCATTTATCATCTTCTTTGTTTTGTCAGATTTGACTCTTACTGGAACGTGAGCACCTTGAAGACAAGCCAGGGCCCCTCAAGTGTAGAGAATAAACCTTCACAATGTGTGAATAACCTGAAAGCTACTTTAACTGCAGGGGATCCCTTCCTGGCCTATAATATCTGAGCTGGCTTCCTAAAATTAGCCAATATTTCTGGCTTCAGCTCACTGTGCAGACTGTTGGTGCCCTGGCCCGCTCTGTGCCCGGGGGTGCTAACAGGGTGCGACTGACCAAACCCTCCTTGAAATTCCCACAACATGACTCTGTCCACGCCTACTTCTCATCCTCTCAGCTTCTCTAGCATCTCGTCTTCCATTGGCCACTTAAAAACAAACGCTCAGGGCTCTGGCTTTGACTTGCTCCTTGGACACTGAGAAATTCTGATTACTCCCGTGTCTTTACGGGCTGATGGTCCCGGTCCACAGCTGCACTTCAATGACCTGAGCTCTAGACTCAACGACAGCGTCTCAGATTCAACCCAGCACATGCCAAGCTCTCATCTTCCCCGTGGGGAGAAAAATAACACTCTCTTTCTGGGGCGACCCCCTCATTCACTTGTACGCATGTTGGCTCTCAAACTAAAACCCAATTTATCTTCTGCTTCCTTCAAATTCCAGGGGCTCACCAAACCTCGATGATTCTCCCCCTTAAATGTCTCACTGATCCGACACCTTCTTTCCACTCTTTCCTTTGCTAAAATGAAACACTTCATAAAAAGGCTCTTCTAATTGGTTCCCTTTCCTCAGGCCCCTCCCTCTACAGTGCAGTCTCCGTGGAGCCGAAGTTACCTTTCGAAGGCATGGCTCTGCTTCTGCCGTTCCACTATGCAAACTATCAGCTCTCCGCGAGCAACAGGAGAAAGGTACCACGTTTCGGCCATTTCTTTCTCCAGCTCCTATCTCCTCCTCCATATCAAGCTGTTCGTGACAGCCATAAACTCTATTGTATTTCCATTACTCCGTCTACCGGAATGCTGGCCTCTCTCTTCTGCCTCACAAAGTTTTATGTATCCTCTTAGACCCAATGCAAATATCACCTCCCCAATAAAGTGTCCCTCAGATTGCTCTCCCAAGCAGAATGAATTACAACGTCAGGACACCAGATACATCAATTACCCCACTAAGCACATCTGCAGCTCCTTTTCAACATGGCTCTTAATCCCCAGGGGGGAGTCCCAAGGGTAGTAACTCATAAATCTTTATATATATCACCAGAACCAAGTAAAATGCCAAGCACACAGTAGGGGTACAGCACATGATTAATGGATAAGGAATGGGTCATTGTGGACCTAGAATAACTTGAATGAAACAGAACACTTTTCTAGGCATTCAGAAAAGCCATGCCTGCAACTGAGTTTTTATTTCAAACTATGTCTATTTAAATAATATACACGTTCCATGACAAAAGCAAAGATGTACGACCATTAGAACGTCATAAATGATAAACACCATGGAAGGCGCAAGGCCGTCACATGGGGCGGCAGTTCAGCCAACTACCTGGATGAAACTCACCCGCGTGGACACTAACCTCAAACCAGAGCACGTGTAGAATACAAGCCTATTGCAAGCCCCCCCTTTAGCCGGTTCAGAAAATTAGGCCTACCAGAGTTCAAGGGCTTGTTCAATGTCTTCTAACCCATAGAAGCCAGATCTCCCAATTTCTGGTTGAATACACGTTACGTAGAAAGTGAGTGAGCCCTGGCCAGTTTGGCTCAGCGGTTAGAGCGTCGGCCCAAGGACCAACGAGTCCCAGTTTGATACCGGTCAAGGGCATGTACCCCGGTTGTGGTTCGCCCCAGCCCTGGTCGGGTAGTGTGGGAGGCAACCAGCTGATGTGTCTCTCTCACATCGATGTTTCTCTCTCTCCCTCTCTCTCCCTTCCTCCCACTCCATCTGATGATAAACAGAAAAATATCCTTGGGTAAGGATAAAAAAAAGGAGTGAAAAAAATTGAATCATCCTAAGTTTAAACGCTACTCCAAATCCCTGAAGAGAAAGAAGATGAAACCATAAATGAAGCTCAAAGACGTGAGCATGGGGTGATCCCCAGTTCCCTGGATGCTTCTGTGCTTAGCAGGGAACTTACTCTGCTGGATTCCTCGCCATCCTCTTCGTTGATGGAGCTGGAAGGGGAGGGGGTTGCCGATTTGCTCGCTGGCGGTGACGGGGACGTGTGGGGCAAACTGCTTCCTCCCAGATTCAGTCCCAGCTGGGCGCTGAGCTGAGACTGGTTGATGGTGGTGAGCTGGGCAGGAGCCATGATCCCGGAGCGCGCTGCATCGGTCATGTGGACGATGGACCGCATGATCAAGGAGGGGTCCTGACGGTACTGTGATACTTGTGTGTGGCTCTGATCCTGAAAAGGCAACACAACAGAGGACGCGCTGAGTTTTCCTAAGTATCCGTGGACGTGCAGGGATGAGGGAGTGGGTGAAATGGGTGGAGGAGGCAAAGGGTACCAATGTCCGATCACAAACAAGTCATCAGGATGTACTAAACAGCGGAGACTCTAGTTAATAACATCGCATATTTGAAAGTTGCTAAGACAGTAGATCTTAAAAGCCTCATCACAGAAAAAGATTTTTTGTAACCATGTATGGTGACAGATGTTAACTAGACCCGTGGTGATCGTTTCATAATATACACAAATACCGTATATATTTGTACAATATGTTGTGTACCTGAAACTATTAATAATGATATATGTCAATTACCTCAAAAAAAAAGAAAATCAATGACCTTATAATGTTTGCAGTTCTTCAGACAGATGTAACCTGTTGCAGTTTTGATAGGTGTGACCTATCCCAGAAGATGGTCTCTGTTAATTTATTAACTATAAGGATTCGTGCCAAAAAAGTTGAAAGGACAAAAGCACAAAGCCCAAATTACCCAGCCTAGCCTATTACACAATAGAAGGGTCACTGGAGGGTCTTTAAAAATAATTTTAAAAAGACTATTAGCAAAGGAAAGATAAACTTCCGGCTAGTGCTTCTGAGCGAGAGAACGGATGAGGCGGGAGGGGTGAAGCGGGTCCCTCCCCTCCGGGCTCACCAGCCGGCCTGCCGGCCTTCTCACACACACGGTTCCGGCGTCCCTGCACTGGACCCGGCTCCGCGAGGGGGGCTGGTTCTGTGACCCTTCCCGGGACGCATCTGCCACGTGCAGGGCAGGGCCGGACAGGCCGCCGCAAACATCTGCTCCAGGGCACCTTCTGCACAGCGCTCTGCGGTTAACCAGAGGCTCGCTCCCACCCGAGTCGCAATGTCCACAGCATCTGGAAGTCATTCAGCGTCTTTCGGACTGGCTATCCCTTTTTTCATCTTAAACTTGCTTGTTTGCTTTTGTTCAACCCACCGTGATTTCATGTACTAATGGGTTCTTAGAAGGATGTATAAAAAGGAGGCGCAGAGATCAGTTAGCTTTGCGGGAAGTCACTTCCGTCCCTTCAGAATCAGCCTCCTGTTTTTGGCAGTCGTACGAAAGGCCTTTAGAGGTGTAGCTTTTCTTTTTCCAAAGAACCAAAAATTGAAAATATGCTTTTCAAATGACTTACTTTGAGACCTGTCATTTAAAGTGAGTCTGTGATTTTACTGAAACCAAATTCTCTTGACTCACGGTGACCCAGAATCTAATTCTGTACACGAGCCCATGAATTCTTAACTGTTCCTCTTTGGAGTCTTTTTGGTAAGGCTAGATTTTTTGCCCTTTACAGACACAGACAAATTGTAAATAACTAAACTAGAACATTTGGTTCCATAATACTAAGTGTATAAAATGCCACTCAATAAGGAGCCCTGCCCTGGCCAGTTTGGCTCAGCGGTTAGAGCGTCGGCCTGTGGTCCAGAGAGACCCGGTTTGGTTCCCGCTAAGGGCACGTACCTCGGTTGCAGTTTGTCCCCGGCCCTGGTTGGGTCGTGTGGGTGGCAGCCACTCAATGTGTTCCTTTCACGTCGATGTTTCTCTCTCTCTCTCTCTCTCTCTCTTTCTTCCTCTCTTTCCCTCCCCCTCTATCTGAATAAAAAATGGAAAAAAAAATGTCCTCAGGTGAGGATAAAAAAAAAATAAAAATAAGGAGTCCTAGCTATCAATAAGAGACTGGTTAAATAAATTATGATCTACCACACTACAAGCTATTCTAAAGCTTTTTTAAACTAATGAATGAGATCTGCATGTGTTGGCCTAGAGTAGAGTCCTAAATCCTGACTCTCAGCATCCTGGACCAGATACGTCTTCGTGGTGGGGCCCCTGTGCATGGCAGCATGTTGGCAGCAACCCTGGCCTCCGCCTCCCTGATGCCAGCAGCAGCCCCTCCCTCCCCACCAGTCATGACAGTCACAAAGGTCTCCAGACAGTACCCCCAGCCAGGGTGCAGCAAAATGGCTTAGAACCACGGCCCAGAGTGATATCCCAGAGACAGGAAGTGAAAGAGCAAGTTGCAAAGTAATTCTAGCGTCCGCCCCTTTGTTGGTCGAAGAAGGACGAGTGTATACCCTAACTCACAGCAGTGGTACATTCTGAGGACCGGAACGGGAGGGGCAAGGAGGGGGCGCCTTAACTGTTTCCATGTACAAAACCACTCAACAAACTAAATAAACGAAAGTAGCTTAACCTGGAAAATCTAAAAAGAAGAGCTACACCGTTTAAACAGTCTGTAGCTAATTGCTAGGGTTGAAGAGTAAAAACGCGTTGTCCTTTTAAAAATAAGTTCTGAGTTATCTGCTGCCTGTGGAATCCCGGAGACATGGATCAACGTGGCTCTTCCACGCCGGCGGACAGGCTTCCCCGCCACCGGTCCAGAAATACTGCGTTCTTCTGGCGAGCAGAAGAGACTTCTGTAGGTCTCTGCGGACTTACATCGAAAAGTGGGTTTTACGTGAGCAGTCTGTCCTAAGCTTTCGTTCGGGTTCTACCGCACATTTAGCTAGTTCTCTTCAAAAAACGTGAGCTGTCTGTCCACTTTTCCTCGTTCTTTAAAGTTCTACCTTTGTGCCCGGCCCGTGTGGCTCAGTGGACTGAGCGTTGTCCCAAGGACTGAGCGTTGTCCCAAGGGCTGAGCGTTGTCCCAAGGACTGAGCGTTGTCCCAAGGGCTGAGCGTTGTCCCAAGGGCTGAGCGTTGTCCCAAGGGCTGAGCGTTGTCCCAAGGGCTGAGCGTTGTCCCAAGGACTGAGCGCTGTCCCAAGGGCTGAGCGCTGTCCCAAGGACTGAGCGCTGTCCCATGGGCTGAGCGTTGTCCCAAGGGCTGAGCGTTGTCCCATGGGCTGAGCGTTGTCCCAAGGACTGAGCGTTGTCCCAAGGGCTGAGCGTTGTCCCAAGGGCTGAGCGTTGTCCCATGGGCTGAGCGTTGTCCCAAGGACTGAGCGCTGTCCCAAGGGCTGAGCGCTGTCCCAAGGGCTGAGCGTTGTCCCAAGGGCTGAGCGTTGTCCCAAGGGCTGAGCGTTGTCCCAAGGGCTGAGCGTTGTCCCATGGGCTGAGCGTTGTCCCATGGGCTGAGCGTTGTCCCAAGGGCTGAGCGTTGTCCCAAGGGCTGAGCGTTGTCCCAAGGACTGAGCGTTGTCCCAAGGACTGAGCGCTGTCCCATGGGCTGAGCGTTGTCCCAAGGACTGAGCGCTGTCCCATGGGCTGAGCGTTGTCCCAAGGGCTGAGCGTTGTCCCAAGGGCTGAGCGCTGTCCCAAGGGCTGAGCGCTGTCCCAAGGACTGAGCGCTGTCCCATGGGCTGAGCGTTGTCCCAAGGACTGAGCGTTGTCCCATGGGCTGAGCGTTGTCCCAAGGGCTGAGCGTTGTCCCAAGGGCTGAGCGCTGTCCCAAGGGCTGAGCGCTGTCCCAAGGACTGAGCGCTGTCCCATGGGCTGAGCGTTGTCCCAAGGACTGAGCGTTGTCCCAAGGGCTGAGCGTTGTCCCAAGGGCTGAGCGTTGTCCCATGGGCTGAGCGTTGTCCCAAGGACTGAGCGTTGTCCCAAGGGCTGAGCGTTGTCCCAAGGGCTGAGCGCTGTCCCAAGGGCTGAGCGCTGTCCCATGGGCTGAGCGCTGTCCCAAGGACTGAGCGTTGTCCCAAGGACTGAGCGTTGTCCCAAGGGCTGAGCGTTGTCCCATGGGCTGAGCGTTGTCCCAAGGGCTGAGCGTTGTCCCAAGGGCTGAGCGTTGTCCCAAGGACTGAGCGTTGTCCCAAGGGCTGAGCGTTGTCCCAAGGACTGAGCGTTGTCCCATGGGCTGAGCGTTGTCCCATGGGCTGAGCGTTGTCCCAAGGACTGAGCGTTGTCCCAAGGGCTGAGCGTTGTCCCAAGGACTGAGCGTTGTCCCAAGGGCTGAGCGCTGTCCCATGGGCTGAGCGTTGTCCCAAGGACTGAGCGTTGTCCCATGGGCTGAGCGTTGTCCCAAGGGCTGAGCGTTGTCCCATGGGCTGAGTGTTGTCCCAAGGGCTAAGCGTTGTTCCAAGGACTGAGAGGCCCGGTTCCAGTCCCGGTCCGGGCACATGCCTGGGTTGTGGGCTTGGCCCCCAATAGGGGGCGTGCAGGAGGCAGCCGCTTGATGTTTCTCTCTCACATAATTGTTTCTCCCTCCCCTCAAAAACCAATAAAAACATATTAAAAAAAAGTCCTACCTTTGCTTGTTCACGTCACTTCCATGCCCCAACTATTGGGAAGTGAGCTATGTCACTCTTACTTTCGCTCTCCATATACACCTTTAAGGATGCTTTTTAAAAGTCCTTTCAGACTTATGTCAATCTAAATGTTTTAAGATATCTACAAAGAATGTCCAAAGTACATATGAATCAAGTGTTTTAATTCTGACCGCATACTAACAAATGAGTTGGCTGGCCGGGCCACACACGAGGACAGTATGACGACACAGCTTCTCACTGAGAGAGCAATCGCCTTGTTCTCCTGACCCCCGTGCCCGTGACAAGCAGCATGTACACACCGGGCTGACTCAGGCCACACCGGGAGCACTGCAGAGGCGTCTCAGCATCAAACGGGAGTTAGCTCCGGGCTCCCTGGCGTCGGGAAGTCCACCTGCGGACAAGCAGCCGGGCCGCGCCGTAAGGGCCGTTCCCCGGGTGACACCAGGTGCCGGCGCTGTGCTAAGCCTCCAGGCGTTTCCAAGTGGACCCTCTGGGAAGTGTCCAGAAGGACATGCTCTTCTTCACCTGAGCAGAGCGAGGCCCCGCGGCACAGTCGGCCGGTGATGCTCGACGGGAAGCTGCTTCCGAGAGCCATGGGCTTCCACGTGCCCGTTCTATAAACAGATTCCTCATAACATTTCACTGATAAAAACAGAAACGAAAAGAAACAGGGCTCTTCCACAGTGGAGACGGAGTGAGAATCACCCCTGAAAAACCCTGGTGGTGGGGCCAAGG